ATATATATATATATGAATAGTTTTAATTATGAATTTATATATTGTGTACTATTTAATAACTAAAATAAATAGTTCGAAATAATTTTCTTAAGTTATAAAATATCTTTCCAGTTTTACAAAGACAATACAAACAAGGAAATGATTTCTTATGTTTGATTTCTTTTTTAATGTATTATTTAAAAAGCTCGAAAAAATTTAATATATCTTGGTAAAATATGATCGACATAAAAAGGAATGTTTTCGTATAGTAATGCTTATGTTCTGTCGTATCTTTCTCTTTACTATTCATAACAACACATTTCTATCATATTACTGTCACATTTACCAACATTATACAATACGCATTCTTTCCTTTCTTTTTCTTATTAAAACATTTAAAAAATCTTCAGATAAATACGTACATTACATATATAAAACAAAATTTTCATTGTGTAAAAACGTAAGCAGTAAGATTTAAATAATAAATTAATCAATTGTCATAAAAAAAATTCTCGAGAATATAAAATTGCCATTTTAAAACTCTTTGTTTCACTTGTGTGTGTGTGTGTGTGTGTGTGTGTGTGTGTGTGTGTGTGTGTGTGTGTGCATGTGTGTGTGTGTGTGCATGTGTGTGTTCGAATGTTTTAGTATTTAAGTCTTACTGTTTATATTTTTTATATGTTACACTTTCTCTGTTCTTGAATCCCAGCTTTAAAGTATCATGGTCAAAAATATAAAACAAATCTCAAAAGAAACAAAAATTGAATTTAAAATCGCAATTTATCTCTTTTGTTTCTTATGTCTGTTTGAAAATGTCCGATTATAGTCAGCATGTTGGGCCTGGCACTAGGAATTTGCATTTCTAGTAGTAATAACACTTTGTACAACACGCTGTCCCCACCATGCTTCCAAATTAAATGGTTCAAAATCTGTAAAAAGATATAAAATACAATACAATACAAATATTCTCTTCATCCGCGATATATTCCAGTCAATAATAAAATGAAACAAAATTTCCAAAAAGAAAACATAATACAATGAAACAAAATAATTGAACATCTCTAAAGAATAGGAATTAATCTCTTCCACTATACACACATAATTTTCTAAATCAAGAAAAAGAAATAAATAAAAGAAAATAAATCGAATTTAAATTAAGCTTATAGTATACAATAATGATATTATATCAATTTTGCTTCTAGATAAAGCAAAATGTTTACCTTTCAACTGTGGATTTGGCTCACATTCTTGATAATAAGTAACTGACGCTCCATTTCTATAATTAGAGGAGTTACTGTGTGGTTGATTATGACACATATCTAGCTCTCTAGATACGGAATTCCATGCTGAAAAAAAACAAATATAAAAAATAAACATCAGAGAAATATATTTCAATCATTTAAATTATATTGCGTATGTATACTTACAATCATAAATATACTTGATCAAGTCAGAATGTTGCGATAATATCTCTGGCTGATGTCTACATGGTATCGAAGAGGGCCTCTTCCCGTTCATTGTAGTCATCTGTGATCTACTGCTATAAATAACAGAATTAAGATAAACAACTGTTCTAAAAATAAAATTCAAATATGTATATATTTTAACCTCATTCTTATCTATAACTCAACAAACAAAATAAACTTGATAATTGTTCTAGATAATTGTTCTTTTTTGAGAAGAATGTTTTGAACTGTGCAATAAATTAGAATGTAAGGTATTTTTTATAGAAAACTACATTTTTTAAAGTGAAAAATGTTTAATATTTGGCAAATGCGAGAAAGTACCGCAATGAAAAACAAATCTAAATACAATTTGTTTTACTCCAACTTATCGCACCGGCAGTAATATACAGCAGTTCAAAATATTTTTTGAAAAAGATCACACCTACTTAAAGTTTATACTATTTGGAGAAGGCACAAAATAACTTAGCCTAACCTAATTTAAGATGTCGAGTGTGATGCTGACATCAATCGCGCGCTAGAAAAATTAATGCGCCCATAATTAATTACGGGTTATCGCATAACGTAAAATTCGTAATACTTGGCAGAAGCGAAACTTCCCAGAAGCATTACATTGAAATACTATGATCGAGACTCCAGTTCATAACTATCACGCACGTGACTCGATAATTTGCGATAATGTCGCCAAACCTTGACGTGAACGCAGTGAAAATCACGCGACGATAATGCAGCTTCTTCGTGACAAGTACTGCAGCATGCGTATCAGAATCCATACATACACAAACATATGTGTGTCTCTACGGATTCAGCCATTTTCAAACCATACGTGCGTCTTAACGATACACACATGTAATCCGTCAACAATTAGGCGTGACACCATTCTCACACACGACAAATGTGTATATGTGCGCGCGCGCGTATGTGGGTGTGTGTGTACACATGGAAGCCACGCGCGCAATTTAGATATATATATGGCACGTAGAGACACCCATGTATCACAGGCCCAGACACATAGCATAGCGATAAAAAAAACCTACACATTTAAGCATGCCCTATAAAAAAAGAGCAGGAGAATATTTTTCAACGAAGAAATCCTCGCAATGCCTCTGGCTCTCCCGAATTAAATGCTCGAGGCGCGAATCAGCACTTGGGGGTGAGCAGAAACGTCAGCGCGGGAAAGATGGCGGCTGATAAATGCGGATGCGCTTTCCCGTTCCCGCTTGCGAACATCCTACCGTTTCTCTCGATTCATAAAACAACCGTCGCGCGTCCCGTTCCGCTTTCATATGATCGACGACATGACGATCGCAAAAATGATTCGTGAGGAAGTGCAAGAAGAGCGATAAGATGATGCGAGAAGCGCGAGAACGCTGTATCCGTTCGCCAGGTGTAAATGGTAAATACCTCATTTTTCCCAGTTCCGTGTCTCTCTCAGTCTCTCGACAACGATGCGGCTCGAACTGTCGACGTGACGGGTGACGCTGGCCGGGACACGCAGCCTGAATGTGGCCGCGTCGGGACGCAAACGGCGGACGAGGCTCCAGTGCCGCTGACAATGAGGGAAACTGTGCAGCCGTGACAAACGCACAGCTGTACCAAGCTTACCCTACGGTGGCTGTCAACAATCACAACGACGCGGTCTTCCGACGACGCGGAACGGTAACTCACGAGTGGCGACGCACGATCAGAGTTCGTAAAAACGCGATGGAAACAGATGGAAATGAATGGACAAAAGGTCGCTAGATGGTGCTCGCGTATCGGAGGGCGTTGAATGGTCGGTATTATATCTACTCAGCTCGAGCAGTTGAATCTATAGTTGGACTTCTAGAATCTGGTAACTGGTTAGACTACAGAAGCTTATTTGAGTGGATAGGAGTGCCTACATTTTAGATGGAAAAAAAATGAAGAGTAAGTTAATTATTAAGATTAAAAGATTAATCATATATTAATGAAAATGAACATTAATAATTCATGAACATTAAAAATTACAAAAGTGAGCAAATTAAATAGATGCTGACCAATAAAAACCAATTATAAACATTCTCGTGAATTTATTTACTTTTGTAATTTTCACCTCATTTCAAGCTTGAAATATTTCGAAGTTTAAAAATTATATGTGTCTTTATAGTTCATAGAATTAATGAAAAAAAAACTGCAATCGTTTGACTGTTTTTCAAGTAGGTCAACAGGAATACATCAAAAATGAATTATTTTTTTTTAATTTTGCATTTTTCTTGGAAATTTTGTGTATACAATTTTTTTTAATTTTTAAATCAATAGGTCATACTCGATTTTGAAATATAAAACATTAATTTTTATACAAAGAATTAACGAAGAATTATTATTAAATAGTTTTTATTTTTATATTTTATCATTGAAATTCTTTCTTGAACATATAAGAAATTCATGAAATTTAAGAAATTCTACACCAAAAAAAATTCTTAAATTTAAGTAGTATATATTTTCTTGAATAGTACGAAGTAAATATTTCTTTATTGCAAATAAATATTTACTAAATGTAAACAGATATTATTTGAAAAACAAGTACAACTGTGTCAATGATATACATAAATATTAGAGAACACCAATAATCGATTAAAGTTAGATGTTATGAATACAATATATATTCTTCATTTAAATTTAATTATCTCAGATGTAACTGTGCGCCGAAATGTTCGGACATTAATTACAATCGATCTGAGATGCTAATAATATGTAAGGCGCCGAAACACATTCGAACATTCCTATATATATATGAAATAATTCCTATATATGAAATAAAGAATTTGTTGCGAAAAATATTACTTCTACCAGATTTGAATCTTGGCTAAGGTAATATTTTTCGTAATAAATTCTTTACAAAATTAATTTAGGGGGGAATTATTTCATATATATATATATATA